ATTTGCGTGTGCTATAACCTGTTGTGGTGTATGAAGACTGTGGCTATAATCATATATTTGGAATTTTCATTTGCAGAAATTCACAAAAAAGAGGTACCAATTGTTGTCTGGATAGGAACATGGAATTAATAGATAGTTGCATAGTATCCATGGACGACCAGTTGTTGGTAAATTGTCATTTACGTATTCTTCTAAAAAAATAACATCCAGCGGTTGTTTACTCACACTTCCTTCTTTTACGTTTCTCAGCATCATCAATTGACGAGTACATTCGTTTTCAAATCCGAAATTTAGAATTGCATATTCTTTTGAAATAAGGGTGCAACCGTCTTTGATCAACCACTTCAACAATTTGAACTCCACATCAATATTCTAATAAAATAAATAAATATAAATTAAATATATTAAGCATGTAACGAAATGTATTATGATGAATGAAGTTTCTTAACCACAGTATTCATATACTGTGTTGTATCAATTATAGTTTTCAATGTGTCTCATCATCCCAATATGTACTGTATAACATAATTGAGTTTTAAATAAATAAAAGTAAAATTATAATATTCAAGTTAATTAGATTGGTTAGTTGAATGGATTTTTTAATATTCAATCTCTAATTATTGTGTATCTATCCATATAATAGTCTTTTAAATGATAATAGGCCTTTGGAGACTGTATTTTTTTTTCCTTTATCTTTTTTTATTTTCTCAACCTTTCAACATCTTCAATCTGTTGAGATGTCGATGCATCCTTTGGAACTGGACTCCTATAGACATGAGCATCCTGTTGAAGGGAAGCTATAACTTCCCAATCTGATAATTTGTTCAACATGTTGCTATTTTGTTCATCAATATAACATCTCATTGAAGTCAAACTGGTATTCATGTAATTTTGCATGCTAGATTGCATGTCTTGGTAGTGTTGTTGTCACTGTTGCTATTGTTGAAAGAGGTATTGCTATCACTTCTGTTGATATTCAAACAATTCTTTTTTGGTTGTCAAGAATTGCTTGGTAGTGACTTTCTTGTTGTCTCTTTGATTCTTCAACAATGTTTATTTTCAAACTGCTGCACAAACCTGATACATTTGATACCACATACCGCCTATATATATCAAGCATCTCCTCTATTTCTTCTCTAGTCTCATAATTGGAGCCAATAGAAGCAGAACTTGGGCCGCTCCTACTGAACTATATGTCATAGGATCAAGCATGTTGTCAGTGCTACCTGGAACTACATAATTGATTTCTCCACTCACAATATCATCTAGTAGATTATATTGAGCATCATCTGGCAATGAAAGAGTTGTATAACACAGTGTTTGCAACTCTTCCTCAGTAGGCTCTAAGACTGCCATAACTTGAATCTGTAATGAAATGATTTAGATGATTTGTTGTGACTTTTGTTTGGAGAAGGACAAAGAAATATAATTAGAAGCATGTAATAAAGAGATACAATTAAATAATTAAACTACCTCTCTGCTAGGCAAAAATTGCCTAACTTTTTTCTCTGTTAAAAATTTATTCAACTTCCATTATTGCATTCTAGGACTCTGTAATGTTTTGTATCTACGACTTCCAAAGTTTTGTCCAACTTGTGAAAAAACTTCGTATATCCAATACTGAAATATAATTGAATTTAAATATTAGATACAAGTAAAATAAATTATATATAAACTATAATTCCATCGATGAAAAATAAAAAAATTGAAGAAAATATCTGGAATGCAAATGGATATCCATTTAATAAATATTTATATTCATTTTGCTGATTTAGTTGCAGTCTGTATACTCTTTCCGTTTGGGATTCTCGCAGTGAGTTTAATAAGACAAAATATGATATAAGCCCCATGGATATGCAAGGAATTCATTAAGCTGCTCGACCATGCCTAAAGTTTTGTAATCAATATATCTTCTGGTAGGTTTCAAAACACACTCTACCTGAGTTTAAATTTATCTTCTTGATGTTGACAAATATGAAATGCTTTAGAAAGCATCATCATACTAATTCTCCTTATACCATTAAAATATTGATTTCTAAATCGATTGTTGATGTCAAGATTAACGGATATCTCGTGGCGAGGTAATCCACTGATAAGACAAAACTCTTGTAGATTGGTTATCTAATTTCACCTAAATTTCATTATTTTTTCCACAATCTACAAGTGTTATTATTAACTTATGAACTAATTTACTACTAAATTATTGTTCGTCATCTGCTCTATAAATCACTCCATATATAAATCCATAAAAATTACTGCATAATAAAGATGGTTGTTGATCTGCGATGATCAACTCCACAAAATCTTTAAGATACTGATAATTTAAAAATTGAGTGATTGTAGCAGAAAATCACTGATTTGAAGATAATATATATTCTAAAGACACCTGCACAAATTATTAAAAAAATTCTATTTAATAGAAAAATAAATTCGAATTTCAAACAGGCGTGTTTAATAGAGAGTATTTTCCGAGGTTGAACGATGCAGAGGCATCTCCGCTCGGAGACCCGTGGTACAGAGACCCCGCGTCTCCATGCGCGGAGACACGGAGTCCCCCGAGTCCCGTGTCTCCCATTGAGACACGGTGGACTCCGCAGAGACACAGAGATCCGTGTCTCCGTGTGCGCGCGGAGATCGGATCTGGTCTTCAAAGGCGCACGAGACATGGTGTCTCCCGCATGCTATAGATTTCTCCTGAAGAAAACTTACCTTTTCAGATTTAATGCAATGAAGTTAGTGAAAACGATGAAGTTTCCTTCTTGGGTGAGTGAAATTGAATGAGTGAAATGTGTGTATTTTGTATTTGTAATAATAACAATATGTGTATACACCCAAAATAATTCTTCATTCATCATTATAAAAAACACAATCTTTTTCTCATCAATTTTACTTTTCAATTCCAAATATAATTTTTATTTTATAAAGTAGATGCACATTTAATGGAACAGATGAGTATCTTTAAAACAACCATTTTATTTGTAGTCTCTGTCCTCAGCACGAAGACATTGCCATTTCTTGAAATATCTTGCAACCTGCAACCGAATCATTAAAAGCAACTTCCCAAATCTTTCCACTTCTCATTATTTCATAATCACTTATTAAATTGAATTAGAAACGAAAGAGCTCCAATAAAATACTGGATGTTCGAAATTACATCTAGAAGTTTCAATTAAAAGCTTGTTCTTCCGAGATCGGAGACAAAACTCAACAGCAGTAAAAAAATGCTATATCTCGTAAGTCGTTCCACCGTTTTGTTTTTGTTATTGAGTATACATAATAATCAACACAGAGTGAAAATATTTTTCACTTATTTTTTTTTGAGACTGTAAAAAATGAATTATATAGATCAAGCATCCAATACAAATATTCTTCAATTTTCAGTTCTACATCTTGCGGTTGGAATCAATTTCCAAGATAAAATCAATTTCTTCAAAATACAAAATACAAGGACGATAGACTAATAAAAAAAAATGGAAATGGATGTAATTTATAAAATTGGAGGACTGTAGGTGTGAAGATTTGGGAAATGAACATCAACATCTCATTGGGTTACTGTTACATCTACAATAACTCAAAACTGACTTTTTTATTATAGTTTGACAAGCATGAAAAAATTAAAAATAATGTAATTAAAGATGTTATTTGACATAGCATGAAGAGAGTAAAGATTCAATTAATAATAAAGTAAAAGCATCTCAAGTAAGCCTTTTAAATATAAGATACTCTCTATTTTAAAAAAGTAAATTCTTAAAATTATTTTTTAAGAGACTCTTTAAAATAAAATTTTAATTTAGAGAGTGAGATGTAAACTCATTCTCTATAATTAAATGCATTCAAAATATTTCATTTTTTGATGTAGAAAAATAATACAATAATTTGAAAGGAAGTTAATGAAAATAGGAAAAAATAATAAGTGTTAAATATAAATAGGGCTGTAAATGGGTGGATCTATCTATAACCGATCCGATCCAATAAGAGTATTATTTGATTCAATTCGATCCGATAATTTAATGAATATTTATTAAATATATTTTGAATTCACGTGTAATATTATTTTATTAAAAAATATGTAATATAGAAGAAGAGAGAAAAATATATTTTAAAAATAAGGAGAAAAATGGAGGAGAAAACCAGGGATGAAATTGCTGGCAATCGATGTACCCAATCAAGTAAAGCTAATACAAGTATTTAAAAAATGGTAAATCCTTAAAGAAGTCCCCGATCTTTCATATATATGACAATGACGTCCCCAACTTTTCATGACACCACCTTTTTAACAATGTACGAGTGGTATTTTACTCAAAGGTATTTAAATTTTCATACGATATGGACGTGATATCTGATTGAAAGGATAAAATTATCCAAAAACTTCATTTATTCCAAGAGCTAAACTATAACAATTCAATTATATTAAAATTTGCTCTTTTTTAGACAAATTTACTTTTTTATTCCGACATCATTTCCTATTGCACGATCATTTAACGTCTAATAAACATTTTTTGTTAGGGAGAAATGCTGCCTGAGAATGTTCAAATGTCGGCACGCATAGAGTATTTGATATAAATTCTTTAAAATTCATTTTCAATCAATCATTGTTTTAATAAAATAATTTGACAATTGATTAATAATTTTTTCATACCTTTTAATCATACATTTTAAAATAATAATAATAATAATAATTTAAACAAAATTCATTCTACAAAAATCTATATCAAAATTCAAACACGTCCAAATGTCGAAACTCAAAAACTGTGGGGATTAGAACAGTAATTTCTCAGAACGCGTCAAACCCCATCATGTTCACCCCCACCTTCACCCAATCAAACCGTCACCGGAGCATTCCGGCTTCTCTCTCCAGTTCTTCCCTTTGCCCCTTTTTATCCCTCCTTTTTTTTTCCAAAGAAGTGAAATTTTCTCAAATTTAGATCGACAATAATCCCCTTCAAATCCATATTAAAAATATCGATTCGAATAACAATTGGTTCGAATCTTGAGAGACAATGGGGGATTTCAATTTGGCGTTGGTAATCGTTGCGATAGTAGTGTGTGTGCTGGTGTTTATATTTAATTTATACCTCCTAGTAAACTACCAGCATCCAGATGACGCCAATCAGGCGTATTTCCCCAAATTCGTCGTAGTTTTGGGTCTCTCCGTAGCGGCAATTTCGATTTTAATGCTTCCGGCGGATGTGGCTAACCGGCAGGCTTGCCGGCGCGCGATTTATAATGGTGCGTGTAACCTCACGCTCCCCATGAAGGACCTATGGCTCGCCATCTACATTATTGATGCTATCCTCGTGTTTTTCGTCATACCGTTTGCAATGTTCTACTATGAAGGCGACATGGATAAGTCCGTATATTCCATCTGGGGTTTCTCCTTTTTTGATAAATTATTAATATGTTGAGGCATTTTCATTCATACGTGTTGAAATAATTGTGTTTATTTTATTTATATATTTTGTGGGTTTTGCAGAAGTGTTTGGAAAAGGATGAAAAGTGCATTGCTGTGGGTAGTAACGACAGCTATTGTTTGTGCTTTGGTGCTAGGGATTTTGTATGGTTAGTTTCTCATAAAAATTTCTCTGTTACTTTTTATGTTGACTATTTTATGGGTTTGAAGATAATAATTATGGAAGTGACCTTGTTTGAACTTTATTGAATAATTGGCTAAATCTTAAATGGGCTGCATAATGTATTAGGCCTACTTTAAACTAAATGTTTTTCCCATTCAAATTGGGAGGCTATATCTATGATTCTAATAGTCGTGAGTAAGCATGGATTGTTGTTATTGTTGGCTGTAAAAGACCTGTAGGTCAAGGCATTCTGCTTGCTGTTTGCAATTGTTAGTTTATGTGGTTGGCATTATTCATTTTCATCCGATGTTGTCAAATATCCACTGTACGTGATACTTACAACCCATGATTTTTAAGTTAATGGTTGTCCCAGTTCTTTATTAGTTTGAATCGTCAAATATTATTTATTGTTCTTGTATTTGTGCTGATGTTCTACTAGCATTTATGGGTTCACTTATAGGTTCTTTTCCAGTGATAAGTGAAACTTGGGCAAGATTAAATACTTTAAGCGTGTGTTTGATCCCCGTTTTCTCCTCATTATAATGAGAAATATGACCGTCGCAATTCAAAAAAGCAACTCTAACGGTCATATTTCTCATTATAATGAGGAAAAAATGGGGATCAAATGGAGCCTAATAAAGTAAAGCCACTTTTAAAAGTTTTAGAATATTTTGCCACATTTTCCATAATTTTGATATGTTTATGGAATGGAATTGACTTTCACTGCTAAAACAAGGCTTTCACCTTGCTGCAGCACGGTGCTAGTTTGAATGCATTCATTCAGATGAACCATTGAAGTTTTTCCTTTTTGATCTGCCCCTTCTATCAAATATTTTATGTGGAATGTTCGTGTAGCATACATACTATTAGCAAATTGAGATGGAGATTATTTTGAACCTTATTTCATTAAATTTGAGTTTCACCTACCAGAACAACGGCAACAAGCTGAACTTATTATCAGTGAATTTGGAGTCCATTCAACATAGCATTAAATTTACGGAAAGATCTTATAAAATCAAACATTTCATAATTGTAATAGGCCATATTAATATTGATGATCTCTGCTCTTTTTAAGTTTTTAATTGTTCCGTGTTAAGATCACACCACTCTACAGATGGAGCTTCCTTAGGTTTACATAGGACATGCCTCAACTATATAAGTAGTTCGTCCCCTTAGGGCCACTGAGGTGAGTACCCGACCGTAAACTTCAGGCCCTGTGGAATTAGTCGAGGTGCGCGCAAGTTGGTCCGAACATCCACGGTTATAAAAAAAAAAACTATATAAGTAGTTCGTTCTTCAGTATTTCCTAAACTGGTTTCACTCTAAATGTTGAAATATATTTTCCTTTCTCATTTTATGCAATCGAGTGTGGTTGCACTTCCATCTTAACATTCTCAGTTTTGTTGCAATTTATAAAAAATATATTTTTTCCTTAATTCTGTACTCTAGGACTTGTTGGTAAGGTGGACTTCACAGTTCGACACCTATCGTCATCCACTGAACCCTTTCCATCTACTTGGGGCTTAACAAGTGGTCAACAATGTGTTGGAAGTGGAATACGACAGGTTAGGAAATATTTTGTTATTCTATTTACTCTCATTGATTTTGATTCCCTATTCTTATATCTTTTTCCATTTTCCGCAGTGCTCTGCATATTCTGCCAGTGCTTCGTCCGAGACTACATGGACTATGCGAACTACCTTCCCAGAATATGTTGTTGCTCTAGCGACAATTGTTGGTTCTGTGCTTTTCACTGTAAGTCCATCTATTGCAATTCTAACAATAAAATCTCTACTATATCGGATTATCTTGCTCTTACTGCAAAGGAGTTCATATGCAGTATTTGATTTCTCTTGCTTTCATACATTAAACATTTATCTGTCCCTTTATGTTGTCTAGCTTGTGCTCGTGATTGGAGCTGTTAATATCATCTATAGTATTTTCAATTTATTATAAAAGAAGAGTAGTAATGGAGATAAACCAATTATAGTCCACAAAGACATGACTTATTGATGTTGCAAAAGGATATAGACTTTTCTTCTCTCTCTCTCTCTCTCTCTCTCAAAAAGTAATCTCTTCTGTGCCAAGACTTTATTCTCAATTGTTGTGTGTGCTTCATGTTCTCCAGATTTTTGGTGGTGTCGGCATTGCTTGCCTCCCATTGGGACTTATATTTTCATTCTTCAGACGACCTAAGGCTGTTATAACACGTTCGCAGTATATCAAGGTATTTATTTTTCTTCACCAATTCGGACCTATATGTAAACAACTTAAATCTTGTTGCTGAAGATGTCTATATCTACAAATTAAATGTGGTCATTGCTTCTTGATCATGTAGGAGGCAACTGAACTTAGTAAAAAAGCTAGAGAATTGAAAAAAGCAGCTGATGCACTTCATCAAGAGGAAAGGAGTGGTAATAAGGGAAGAAAATGGCGTAAAAATGTAAAAGCAGTAGAAAAGGTACGTTATATTATCATCTGTTATTGTTGTTGCTCTCATATTTTGCACGTCAACTTAGATGTTTACACTTCTGGTTTCAATTTTGTTTTCAGCTGTGATTTGCAATTTTGTGATAAGACTCAAATGGATACAATTGCTTCAAATGCTTAGAATTACTTAGCTGTGTAACATACCAAACCTAGTTTATACTGTGCCTTCCTCATTATATGAGAGACGATTGTGTTTCTCTTGATGATGTTAGAATGCATTTCGCAGTAATTAGGTTGATGTGGTGCATTTTTGGATTACTTCATTTTTCCCCGATCACGCTTTTCTATTTTTATTGTTCTATTATGTTCCTTCTTTGGCTAGTCGAAGATTTGCTATGTTTAGATAGTAATATGAATAGTTGAATTGTTGGTTGAATATATTTTCATAATCTGAGGATGATCCTGTGTTTTTTGTATCTTGCAGGAGCTACTTCTCTTGGAAGAAGATGTGAAGGCATTGGAAGAGATGTACCCTCAGGGTGAAAAGGTGATGAACCTCAAATTATATAATCTTTTCATCTGTATTGTGATTTTGCAAGCTTTCTCATCCGGAAAGAAGGAAAATTTTAGTAATGTTACTGCCTAAATTCAGGCTGAAGCTTCATGGGCTATGACTGTTCTTGGCTACCTAGCCAAACTTGTACTACCATTGGGACTTATATTTTCATTCATCAGACGACCTAAGGCTGTTATAACACGTTCGCAGTATATCAAGGTATTTATTTTTCTTCACCAATTCGGACCTATATGTAAACAACTTAAATCTTGTTGCTGAAGATGTCTATATCTACAAATTAAACGTGGTCATTGCTTCTTGATCATGTAGGAAGCAACTGAACTTAGTAAAAAAGCTAGAGAATTGAAAAAAGCAGCTGATGCACTTCATCAAGAGGAAAGGAGTGGTAATAAGGGAAGAAAATGGCGTAAAAATGTGAAAGCAGTAGAAAAGGTACGTTATATTATCATCTGTTATTGTTGTTGCTCTCATATTTTGCACGTCAACTTAGATGTTTACTCTTCTGGTTTCAATTTTGTTTTCAGCTGTGATTTGCAATTTTGTGATAAGACTCAAATGGATACAATTGCTTCAAATGCTTAGAATTACTTAGCTGCGTAACATACCAAATCTGTGCTGTTTCTCTTGATGATGTTACAATGCATTTCGCAGTAATTAGGTTGATGTGGTGCATTTTTGGATTACTTCATTTTTCCCCGATCACGCTTTTCCATTTTTATTATTCTATTATGTTCCTTCTTTGGCTAGTCGAAGATTTGCTATGTTTAGATAGTAATATGAATAGTTGAATTGTTGGTTGAATATGTTTTCATAATCTGAGGATGATCCTGTGTTTTTTGTATCTTGCAGGAGCTACTTCTCTTGGAAGAAGATGTGAAGGCATTGGAAGAGATGTACCCTCAGGGTGAAAAGGTGATGAACCTAAAATTATATAATCTTTTCATCTGTCTTGTGATTTTGCAAGCTTTCTCATCCGGAAAGAGTCTTGTGATTTTGCAAGCTTTCTCATGCGGAAAGAAGGAAAATTTTAGTAATGTTATTGCCTAAATTCAGGCTGAACGAAGTACCCGATACTGACAAGAACCGATGGATCGGTTTGAACATGAGGGAGTTCTAGGGTATGTTTTCATTACTTATGTACCGACACTGAGTATTTGTGCACCTGAAATTTCAGTGCACTTCTTATAGGACATTTGGGGTAACTCCTGTTTCCAAATTTCTTGGATAGTGAAATGATTCTAATGGTTGAGACTCTCAGAAGTCAACACTTTACCTCAATGGCATATCGGTTCATCAGTTGACAATCTTGCTTATTAGTAAATATTGTGTTTGTTTTCCTTTGGGGGGGGTGGTGGCGGACAAACTTCCCATGGATCTAGATGAATTGTGACATCTTCTATGTTCATTGTGGGGATCTATTCTTTTGAGCCTACTTTATGCTTAATGGTTTTGCTGCTGTTTGGCCTATTGATCCATTTTGGATGCGTGTTTTGTTAAAGCTGATTGACAGCATATATTTGCTGGCTTTGAACAGGTTGATAGTTTCAGTGGCTTGGATTGCACATATAGTCATATATTTGCTGGTTGACCCTCCTATTTCTGCATTTCTTAACGAGATCTTCATCAAATTGGATGATGTTTGGGGTATAGAGGAAGCTTCTGCTTCTCACATTTTTCTTTGTCTGCTGCTTGATGTGACATGGACTAACACGCTATTAATTTCTGCTACTTTAGGTCTGCTGGGAACTGCAGCGTTTGCCTTTTTCTGCTTCTATCTTCTGCTTGCAGTTATTGCTGGGGCAATGATGCTTGGTTTGAAATTAGTTTTCGTTACCATCCATCCTATGAAGTATGAATACTTGTAGCATTAGATCTTTTATTGGCTGTTTAATCTCAGATTTTATTTTCTGCCTTTCTTTTTTTCATTCTCATTTGTGTTTAATATTTAAACCATATTAACAGATGGGGAGCCACGCTCATGAATTCTTTTCTTTTTAATGTGGGCCTCATTCTCCTTTGCTCAATAAGGTAAGATCATAATTTGAACCCCCTAGTTTTATAGGCACTCGGAACATTTCATATGAGCTGTACTATTGAGCCCTTGTTTGGCTACTGTATATAAATTGTTTATAATTGGTTAACCACTTTTTATCCATACCCACTTATTACCACTCATTTCCATCCATTTATAATTTATAAACCGTTTATAGATAACTCCCAAAAATGCTAATATGGTAAGGACAAACATATAACATGTCTATGGGAGCAATGCACTTTGCTAAGGTGTCTTTAAATTGCTTTCATTGAGGACTTCCAGCTACACTTTGTTTCTCAGGTTTGAAGTTGTAGGCAGTTTTTTCTTGTTACCAGATTTAGCTATTTATCTGGGATTTTGCTGTCATCTCTCTTATTGGTCCTATTTCCATGATTTTCTAAATTAAATGTTATTATGAAACTGAAAGTTGCAGTGCATGTTAAGCCCAGTGGAACCCATTTCGTCAACAACTCATTAGATGTAATATCAGTTTATTAGTTTCATTTGTCTATTCTGTAGGCTAATAATTAGATCCCCTTGATACATTGCTTGCCGCATGCTTCTCCTGAATTTAAACTGTCGATGAACTTTTTGACCAAGTAGTTTTGTCCTCATTTTTGCAGTGTGATCCAATTCTGTGCCACTGCATTTGCATACTATGCACAAGCTACCGCTGCTCAAGAAATCTTTGGTCACACCTTGCAATCACTTAGGGGAATCAAATATTTATACAAGTCAGTTGTTGGTTTCATTATAAATCTTAGCTTCTTGTTGTGGTTATCGGTCACTCTATGTTCTTATGGTCCATAAACATTCATTAGACTCAAAACCTTGAGTACTGTTGCAGGTATAATGTCTTTCAGATTGGATTCATTGTCCTGGCGGGGCTGACTTTTGTGTATTATGCAGCTTTTGTATGTCCCACTTGACTCTAGAATTCTGTTATCTATTTCCATAAAACTTGAGCTTAAACCTGTATCTACCTTGTAACTTTTCAGGGGTGGAGAAGAAAAAAGCCTAGTGGCAGATTCCAGCTTTCAACATAAAACATTTGGAACCATTAAAACATCTAACAGTTGGATCTGCTGCTATTCTTGATTTATATATGGTGTGACTGATGTAAATTATAGGATGCACGTGCCTTGGTTTTATTCAATGCATTGCTTGGGGAAGAGGGCCAACATTATTAAAAGATCCAATACACAAGTTTTATGGCCACATGTTAGTACTGCGGATGTTTTACTTCTTTCGCCTGTTTTCACATCATTGTATGTATGATTGTTTGAATATATCATGAATTAGCTTTACATGTAGTTATCGGCATTTGAATACTTGGTTGAGAATTACCATTTGATGTAATATATAGTCATTGAGCAAAAGATTTCTTGAGTAGCCTGTTTGCTGTGTAATGCTGTCAGTTTGATCTCTAGATACACTTTAATTGTCCTAAGTCTCAACAAAGCAGCAAACATACAATTAACTGTTCATTGATTTGTGTTTACATGCATTGGGTTTTAATTAAGATTATTTTAGAATGATCGACCTTAATCAACTCAGTAAAATTCTTGAATGAGGATGATTTTTACAGTTGATTTCAATAATGACAAGTAATCTGATGATATTGTTCTACATTTGGGCAGAACCCAAAGCACGTGCTTGATAAACATAATTGGACTGGATTTGATTTGATTTGATTATAATATGGACGAGTTTGGCTTGTTTTCTTCTTTAATATACTCCAGTGTTTGTCTAGGCGAGCTCACAAAACCTGGTACTAGTATTTTGCCGTGTGTTGGCACCATTGTTTTTAAACTTGGTTTGAGGCTTAAACCTTTAGGGCTATAGCTAGGGAGGTTTTTTTCCACCGGTTTTGGGTGACACCGTTTGAAAAGTGAAAAATCGGTGCATGCTAGTGTTTTGTACATCGGCGGTGTAATTTTGACTGTTTTTCTCAATTCACCAAATTGGTGGGTTCTGGTTGTTTTTCATTTTTCTTCTAATTTTACCCTTGATAAAATAATTTTTTCTAACATGTATATTCTGTTCATATTTAACTGAGTAAAAATACATTACTAAAAAAATTATTTATAAGCAAAAAAATACTTAATAATTTAAAATTTTATTTATAAATAAAAAAAATACTAATAATATAAAAATCACTTCGTGTAAAAATTTGTTTATAAAACAAGAATACTACTGTTAACACAAAAATTTAAAGTTACTTATAAGTAAAATGTGTAAAAATTAATTAAAAGTACAAAATTAATTTATAATTGTAAAATGTATATATATGTAAATATTGAAATTTTTATTTTGACATATATAAACTCCTAAGCACGTGTTGAATTTTTTCAAAAATCACTCAAAGTCGTTAATAAGCGCTCAAAATCGGTATTAAATAAAACATTGATTATCGGTACCCAAAACTCCCAAGTAGGCCCTAGGTGCGCCTTGCGTGATGTTTTATTATACGCCTTAAAGCTTAAACCTCGAGTTCCATTTGTCAAGGCTTGCAACTCGACGTACTAAGGCTCGTGTCTCATAGCGTAGGATGTTATAGCGTTTGTTTTTCTGTCTGCCTTTGGATTGATTATGATTACTTTGTAAGTTGCACTTAGTCGAGTCACTAAAAGCTGTTACAGTTAAATCCCAACAAATTCTATGCAAAAGTTCGAAGTATGTTACTTGGGTTGACACTAGATATTTGCTCACTCCTTTTGCCAACTAGAAAACAACTCAGTCACATTCATGGTGGTTTGCCGTCTGGAGCAAGTGCGTAATATGGTGAATAGTCAAAATTCAGCTGGAATTGACCTCCAGTAGAGGCTTGGTCCCCATTCAACCTCTTTGTCGACCTTTAGTATCTCCTCAAGGACAACTTCTGCACCCTTCAAGCGACAGATGAATTCCGTCACTGCATGCAAGACAAGAATTAGCTAAGAGAGCATTGAACATGCACGTCTAGTCGAGACACTTGGGTGAGGCTGCATTGCATCGTGACCACCAAAGTATACAATTACGAGAGAAGGCCGAAATATTGCATCCCGAGGAAGAACACATTTTTTGTACAGTAATCTTAAAAGAAAATAAAGCACAATAAAGAATTTAATTACCTAAATTATTGACACGCATTTCAAATATGTTTGAAAATTCATTCCAGGAACAACGCTATTTGTACAACCAAATGTATACACTTTTGTTGACACTTCTTATGTGTCAAAAATCTAACAATTGATTGAAAAATGTATTTTTAAAATCAATGTACTGAAATATGCCAACACACATGAGTGTAAATCAAAGTGTACACATAGCACGACTCTTCATTTCAAAGTCGCTCATTAATTGAAACATTTAGAGTTTTCACATCAACCAACTTAATGAATTTGTGGACGGAAACCACGAGTAGAGATTAAATGAATATATAAAATGGATGCTAGAGACTTGAAATGCCGTGAAAAAAAGTGCAAAAGAAATCAAAGGACACGTATAATTTTTCAGATTATTATTAATGAATAAAAATAGATTTCAATTTAATTGGATAATTTGACAATGACTCACAGCTATATAAATTTATAATAATCATAATTCTATGTAGAGTAACATTATTCTTTGGATTAGGGGCGGATGTAGAAGTTTAAAGTTAAGGGAGCACAATCGAATTTGTAAAGAAATTGGGAGAAATTTTACAATCGAAAATTTACGTCCAAAAAAATAATACTCCACGTAATTTTTCATCCGAAAATTTACATGGGATATGACTTTTTCGGATGTAAAATTTCGAAATTTTTTTATATCATATCCCATATAAAATTTTCTAATAAAATGATAAAAATTATAAAAATTTTACAATCGAAAATTTACGTCCAAAAAAATAATACTCCACGTAATTTTTCATCCGAAAATTTACATGGGATATGACTTTTTCGGATGTAAAATTTCGAAATTTTTTTATATCATATCCCATATAAAATTTTCTAATAAAATGATAAAAATTATATTGAGAAATTTGTATCGCAAAAATAATTAATATTAATGAAATAATTGAATTTTTTTTAAAAAAATGCGAGTTAGACGTCTTTCTTTAAAACTCACATTTAACACATCTTTAACTATTTTCGATATCTGTTTTGACTATTCGATATGCCTATAATGTAGTTCTCGAAATAAATTTTGAGATGATATAAGCAATTTGTAGATTTGATTAGTGCACGATCGTCATAGAATTTTTAAAGTTAGCATGTTATGGAAATTTTCGAAATACTAATTTTGAACGACTTACTTTGATAAGTCGTAACATTTGCTATGATTGATTGTTTTTTAAGTTATTAACAACGTAGAAAATTAGACTGTGAGCAATTCGTTAACCATAATTTTTAGGTTATAAACGATTTCATTTCACATCTCCTAATAACTTCGAAAATTGAAACAAAAACATAGAAAATTTAATGGTGAAAAAAAAAAAACAGAAGAAGCAAAGTTGGAGGGTCACATCCGCCCATGCTTTGGACGTGGGGCGGTGATAATTGATTTGAGATAGACTCTCTCTTTTTCTTATTTTTCAGAAACCAGTCATGCCAATAGTTGTTAAAACTTACTCATGTAGCTTCTGTCCCAGATGATTGCCCCCTTCTCCGACCAGCACTCGTGATGAGTTGGACACACAGAATTGGGAAAGAGGACAAGTCACTTTCTTTTCACCAAAAGAGTGTGTGTAGTATTGAATTCAGATACCATGAAGCAATTTTTAGGCACAGAAAATTGTGTGGTACATATTTAAAGTTGCCTAAATGTCTCCACCAGTATTTGTATGATTCGATATAGCGGCTATCATTTTTTAAGAAACTTCGTGGAAATAGCCTGTGCTTGTTTTGCGGTTTGCTGTCCTCTCAGCGGATGTGGGTGATCACATGGCATGGACAATGTAGTTTTGGAATGAAGCTAACAAGTAACATTAAAATCCATACTGATTTTTTCACCAGTCTACCCTGTTCTACAAGCAGTGATATCGTCAGCCGCTAGTAATGTAAAACAGATAAATCTGGTTCGTCACACTCTTTACGTACAGTTTTATAAACTACCTATGGTTGCGTATGCTCGTTTGTGAAAGTCACTAGTTGTTTGAATTGCAGTTAGTACTTATTTATCACTGGCGCCTTTGTATTTCTTCTAGCGGGCATCTTGTACGTGCTTAGAAGTAAGTCAAACTTACTTTACCGAAAACGATTTTCAACGTTACTTTTTTTACTAGAAAAGTAAGTTTAATCACTGCCAAACATGCTCGAGATGTTCCAACTTTGTGAAAAAAGGCAACTTCACATTTCAAAAACCCAACAAGTTATCTTGTTTACCAGTTATGGTTGTTCATCATCATAATTTCCCTTAAAGTTGTTCACTCTCTCTGTACCTTTCTGAAGTGGAAATACGAATCTTCCAGGAAGCAACCCAATATTTGGCAGAATTAGGAGTAGGGCTCTGTTATGTGTCCTGTTCTTGATAGGGATAAGGCTTTATGATATGAAAAATGGTACTGGCTATAATGTATTGTATTACTCAATTATTTGATGTGAGAAGTAGCTTATCAGACTGTGTGGCTACACCGAACTCACATATAAGTAAAGTATTCATAAATTGGCCCCACTTGGGTGGCAGATATTTCATTTTCATTTTAGATTTTTCGTCACGTTTTAGCTGCTAACGGTCTTGATAAACAATGAACTTAACTTCGCAGTGTGCGAAAGGGTACAAAATTCTCCCGATGTTTTGATGCTAAGTCGGTATTTGTCTGACGTTCATAGAGAATGTATGAATGAGTATTTAAAGAGTTTGTACGAAAGTCGCATGTGATATTGGTGAATGACTTTTTTTTTCAGGGTCGATGATAGATAAAAATGTGACATTATGGACAGAAAACAGTCGCATACAGAAAGTATAATAGTATGAAAGGGAAAATTATTGTCATCTAAATTTAGGGAGAAAAAGGTCAAAAAGTCTCGTGAAAGAAAAAAATATCTTGGTTAAACTAGGTACAAAGACAATTTGATCAAGG